AAACAGTCCATTTATATTATTAAATGAAAACACTGTAATAATAACACTGATCTGCTCTCAGGGGCTGTCCAAACTTTGGAAACAATGAACATCAACAAACAAATAATCCTCAGATGTCAAACCACTAAAAGGGCCATATTAAAATTCGTAACCGATCCGCGGGCCAGCTGTGTTTTTATTTCAGTTTTATGTAACATTTTGTTTTGACCCAAAGTGGCCGTTGTTTATTCAAAATATGCAATATGCAAACTGCAACAGCAAAATAGGCACTGAATACTTGAACTTTAAGATAATTTTAAAATAAAAAGAAGTTGCTTTATATAAACAAACTATATTATCTACAGAAAACTGTTGAACTTCTTTAAACGTCCCTAGGATGCAGGTTTTTAAAACCTTGAACTAGACAGCATCTTTTCTTTTTGTGTTAACGCTGACCCATAGATTGTTTTGGGGGAAGGGGGTCGGAGCACACATTATGTTGCAGTGCATGCTGGGGATTGTAGTACAGCTGATTGTTAAAAGGCCTAATATTAATAGAAAATGAAAATAATTTTGCGGGCCTTGTGATTGACACATGGGGATTAGATCCTTGACCAGCAGAACGGTTTATATTTAAACAGGTAGAGAAAGAACTGTCGTATTCTGTTTGAAGGTTTTGTCCATATAAAATAATTAATGAACGAGTAAACGAGTTCAGTTCCAGTTACCGCCGACAGAGGCATCGCATTCGGCTAGTCTTGAGAACAATTTGCTTAAATGGTTCTTTACATGGTGAAATGAGATTGATGGAGAGTGTGTTGCATATGGTTCTATGTAGCACCTTTTTGAAAATGGTTCTATATAGCACCAAAAAGCGTTCTGCTATTGTTACAGTGTCAAGCTTGTAACAAGATTGTGACATATACAACACATTCTCCATCAATCTGAAGAATGATTTTACCATGCAAAGAACCCCTGAAGCATGAAAATGGTTCTACATAAAACCATTCCCTTTACTACACTCTCAAAAAAGATGGTTCTTCAAGGGTTCTTTAGTAAAGACAATGGTTCTACATGGAACCATGAACACTCCATTTGCATGCTTAAATGGTTCTCTGCATTGTGAAATTGTTCTTCAGATTGGTGGAGAATGTGTTGTATATGGTTCTATGTAGCACCTTTGTGAAAATGGCTCTACATAGAATCATTCCCTTTACTACACTCTTAAAAAAGATGGTTCTTCAAGGGTTCTTTAGTAAAGATAATGGTTTTATATGGAAACACGAACACTTCTTCAGATTGGTTGAGACTATGTTGTATATGGTTCTACATAGCACCAAAAACTGTTACAAGCTTAACCTCATTACAACAGCAGAACCTTTTCTGGTGCTATATAGAGCCCTTTTACAAAGGTTCTACACTGAACCATACACAACACAGTCTCCATCCATCTGAAGAACCATTTCACCATGCAAACAACCCTTTAAGCATGCAAAGGGTTCTTTGAGTGTTCATCAATCCATATAGAACCATTGTCTTTACTAAAGAACCCTTAAAAAAACATCTTTTTTAAGAGCGCAAATTTGTATTTATACTAAAGATTTGGACACTTTTACTGCTTCGAAACAGTTTGCCAGCAGAATAAAACACTCTTACTAGATCAAATTTACTTAAGAGTGAATTTAAGATGATTTCGTTTGGCAAGATATCACTTTTTTGCAGTGTCCAGGTTTAGGCTACTCTACATACCTCTGCTTGTACTGATTCACTGCCCACATAAAAACCTGAGTCTAAAATCTAAAGTCTTGCTCTCTATGAAAGAATCAAGGGTCTGACAATGTGGGCAGAGTTAGGACGAAAGGCAATGAGGAGAAATGCATTCATTCCAATGCAGGTCACACAGAGTCTCACCGCTGGAGAGAACAGTGATTTCACTCAGTCTGAACTCAATGCAACACCACGTTCCATCAATGATATCTCTCAGCTCTTACCTTGTCATCGTCCTTCTCCCTTAAGTCAAACACGATGCTGCCTTGTTTACACTTCTCTACAGTCTGGCTATCCACTCCCGGGGGAACGGAGGCTAAATTAATTTCACAGACAAATCCGGAGCTCATTAAACTTTACCCTGAGTACCTGTAAACCGGCCCTGTGCGGCCACAGCAGTGCAGTGTGGGACAGGCAGGTGAGACAGATGTTAAATACCCCTTTATTAGGCCAAGCCCATTTCTAAAGGCCACCCAAACGTGTCATTAGTGAGGAAACGGCCTGCGTGACTCTTAGTCATTCCGAGAGAAGTGATGATATGGACTTCATTATGACCACATGCTGTAGCAAAATGATGATCTGTTTTTTTTGAAGACACGTTAAGACTAGTTAAACAATCCCATATAAAACTAAACCAGTCTGAGTCATTTTTAGTCATTCTTTAGGTCTGATTTAGCTTCCTGGAGACGCACTAAGACTAAGTACTGACGAGAGTGGACTTTCCTTATATCAAATATTATTTCCTAATTTATTTTTCTACATTTCCTAACATAGTTCAACCAACTGTGTCCTTAAACCAGAACTTGTTGGATTATATTTGTTAATCTCTGATAATTCAGTGTTTGAGATGTAATCAGAGTGATTCAGAGTGGTTTGGTGTGAAATGGTTCAGATCTCTTTACAGTGGTGGTGATAGGAAACCAGGGGTCGCCATGACTACAACACAAATATAGACATTTTATTTACTATCCAGAACCACCAGTGAACCTACACGAGTCTTCTGAGTTTATATGGAATGTTGATGATCGAAAAATAGTGGAAAATCAGAAAAAAAATAGGCCTATGTTTTCTCAGGGGACAATTTGCTTCACAACACCTGCATGTAGGCCTATCCCTCCACCATGAACAGATTTTAAGACAAAAATCTTCTCAAAACTATCATAAAACAGTGTTTCAGTCATCAGGCAGTGAATTCATAACCATTTCATGTAGTAACTTTCTGTGAGGGAGCTTTTAGAGGTTGACGTCTGGTTCCCATCACCACCACTGTGAACACCAAACCACTCTGAATGACTCTGTAGCTATTTAAATATACTGAAAAATTGTGAAATCGATGGAATTCCCCTTTAGTCATAACGTTATAGGGAAGTGTTTGCATGTTTCCTCACTAATCCTCACTGCCGGATTAATTAATTTGGTCAGCACAGTTAATTAATATGCATGGGCTGCTGCTCATGTAGAGAAGCAAAGCAGATTGTAACTAGATTAAAAGCAAACAAGCAAACAAACAAAAAGCATAAATAAGGTCAGTGAATTAAAAATCATTAACACAGCCTTCTGACAAATCCAATTGGTGGCTCTTATATAACAATATTTCTGTAATATTAGCCAGTCAGTGTGTTACAGCTGAGGGCTGAGCATAAAATAATGGCCTTATTAGACTTCTAGTGCTCAGCTTCAAGTCCTGACTCAGTGTTTTAAGGTCACACAAATCTCAGCTGGCTGAGAGCTCTCGCCTCTCTGTCTGATTTATTTCCCCAACACAGCTTCACATCTTCCCCAGCAGCCATAACAACCTGCCAGGAATGAATTAAATGCATGGATGGAGAGTGACTGAGTGAGTGAGTGAGTGATTGTGGTGGTGAATATGGATGTTTAGGATCATCATACCTGTCAGGACTGAATATGCTGATTATAGACATTCTGTAACAGTAACTAAAGTCAAAATAAACATATATGGAATCACTGATCCAGTAAACTCTGCTTTACTAATAAAGAAAACTGAAAAATAAGGACCAAAACAGAGCAGCAGCTAACAGCCTCGGCTCAGCCGCCTATGTGCTGTTGCTGTAGCTACTGCTGCTATGGAGACCTGCGCTAGGATTGGCTGGTAGTTTCCCGCCTCCTCCGCTGATTGGTTGTCATTTCCAGCCTGGAGCACTAGGATTGGCTCGCACTTTAAACCCGCGAGTGGAACCTTGCTGCAAAGTAGACCTTCACTAGGATTGGCGGGTAGTTTCCCGCCTTGTGCGTTGATTGGCTCGTAGTTTCTCATTTTCCTTCTGCACTAGGATTGGCTTCAATGGGATTTATCCTGTTTCTGATTGGCTGCCGCCTCAGGAGGATGCAAATTAGCGGCCTGTAAACGTTTGTGTTTATAAATCCAGTTTGCTAATTTAGTCGCAGGACATTAGTTTGAATTTTGTTTAGTTTTGAAATATTCTTCTTGAGAGAAGTGTTAAAAACGATTAGTAATAATTTTATGAACCACTGTTATGAATATGTGCATTTCATTTTTTAAAATGTGATTTTCATAAGTGGTTGTTTTGCATGTGGAACTGTTTGGAAACGATTGTTAATGAATTTAGTATTTTATTTCTTATATGTAAATATCAGACACTATTTTAGTTCATGTCTAATAAACTTGTATTAATAATTAAATTATTTAATTGGCGTTTTTTATTATACACATACATATACAGTGTACAAGTGGGTGTAGTAAGGGAATAGCTTTAGAAAAGGCTATTTTTATGTTATATTATTATTATTGTTATTATTATTACTGCTACTACTACTGCTGCTACTGTATAACGTTATTCATTTTTTTGTGAAGTTAGTAAATAAATATTTATACTATAAAATAAAATACTGGTAACTGAAAATGATCATTAAAAATAAAATATTTATTATTTAATTAATTAAATAAATATTTCTATATTACATTATTATTTATTACAATCGTTGTAAAATATTTCGTAATACTTCGTGTAAAAATATTTATTACTGCAAGTGATAAATAAAAAGTATTGTAAAATATGTAATTGTTCATTAAATCAATGTTATGTTGCATTATAATATTACTGTATATCATTGTTACTTATTCATAATCAGTGTAGAACATTACTAAATTAATAATTACGTATTTTTACAGCGATAATTAAATAAAAAGTGAGAGTGATTTCTGGGGGGGAGGGGTTTGTCGGAATACGGGTGGGGAAAGGAACACATAAATATCAGCACTGCTGTGAGTAAGGTCGTCTACTGAATACCAACTCATAGGATGAGGCAGCTGTCACCGCAAAAAACAGACAAATGTGAATAAATCCAAACATTACGATGACAGTTTACCTCATGAATTTAACTATGAGATCCCCGGAGACGATGCGAAGCTGATTTTGTAGTATTTTGACTAAAAGAACCGCTGAAAATAAGACCGAGCGGGTGAGTAACGTTACCGTTAGCTAGCCAAGTTCAGCCAGTCTGTCAGTGAGGGGAGCCGTTAGCCTGGGCGTCATCTGTCTCTGTGAGGTGGAAGGAAAACGAAAACCGTGTTTTTCTGCGAGAAATATGAAAACATGGGTTCGAGACTGAGCCGCCAAAGCAGCCTGGACAACGACGGGTTCTCGGCGAAGCGCCGGAGACATCTGGACAGCACCGGGGAGAGAGAGCGGAGCGGCAGCCGCGGCAGCGCCGACTTCATGCTGCTCAGACCGGACAGACTCCCCGGGATGCTCCGCCGGAGCGACCCGAGCCCCTACGCCAGGAGGGTCGCATGGATCCGGGAGATCCAGCAGCTTCTGCGGCAGAAGAAGATCGAGGAGGCTACAGACGTGCTCAGAAGGCTGAGAAAGGTAAGGGCTGGATGTGGTGGTGGTCATCTGCACCTCTTTTTAAAGAGATGGTTCTTTAGTAACGGCAATGGTTCTGTTTAGAACCATGAGGTCTATAGAGAACCGTTCCAGGCTTAAATGGTTCTGTGCATGGTGGAATGTGTGGTATATGTTTCTATACAGAACATGTTTGAAAATGGCACCTGCTGTTGTTAAGATGTCAAGCTTGTAGCAATATAAGAACCTTTTCTGGTAATATATAGAACCATTTACATGTTTCACTATGCAGAGACCCATGTATGCATAAAATGGTTCTGTATAGAACTTATGGTTCTATATAGAACCTTTTACTAAAAAACCCTTGAAGAACCATCTCTTTTGAGCCATTGTTGCTATTCCAGCCTGTATCGTACTGTATTGCATTTGCAAAACGTTGCAGGGGTCCAAGCAACTAATGTCCCCGGTCATGATTTTGTTTAATGCTTTTGTCGTTATTCTAACCCACTATGCGCTCTTTGCACATTGCATTTTCCAAATGTATTGCCATGCAGCTGCATCGCTTCTTGCACCACCAGCCTGCGTTATTATTGTTTGTTTTTGTCCACAATTCGCAAGTGTTTCCCAGGCTGCACCAGCAGGAGTGGCGTGGAGCGGGGCTCTCTCCACGTACGCTGTTTGGCCGTACCTCTCTGAGGTGCTGCAGTGTGTCACCTTGTTCAGGAGAACGTTCCAGCTCACCTGAATCAACCACAGACTGGACAGGCTGTACTGAAATCAGTGATGTGGTGAGGCTGATATGACAGCACAGCACTTAACACAAAGAGACACAAGGGGAACACGAGGTCACGAGGACAGTGTGGTCATGTGTATGTGTGTTTATATATGGCCATGGATTTAACTCCTGAGTCCTCAGAATGGTGGGAAAAGACGCCGTGGGGACATTTAGCCGCTCTCTGTGGGGAAGATCGACTTCAGAAATAGCAAAAGTGGCCAAAGATGATCTTTTAGTGCCCATATTCTGCTGTGGGCTGAATAAACAGATGTATGTGTTGGTTAATGTGACAAACATTGGGTTTAAATCAACCTGTTTTGCAGTTTCCATATATGGATGGAGGTTTGAAATATTTAAAGACTCAGGGAACCTAAATCTGTGTTTTCTTTGTTATTAGGTTTATCTTGTCCTTGCAGGCAAACAAAAGACGCCGTGGGGACATGTAGTAAGTTAGCCCTGTAAATAATGTTCCACTGACCGATAAATGACCAATGTATTTCTTCATATCTTGACATAAACTGGGAGGTCCTAATCTTGGATAGCGCTTCCATCAGCATTCCCCTGACCAATCAAAAGGCTCCTGTTTGTCTGTGACCTGTTCCGTCCAGTTAGTGTCACATAAAAAATAGTTTTATATGAGTGGTGGAGCCAGTTGCTCATTAGCCACGCCCACACAGTTCTCAGACAGGGCCGTTCAGCAGTTTTTAAGCTGTGTTTTGTCATATTAATATCTCGTTTTTCATTCAAGCTTTGCTGAATGTTTAATGCAACACTCAAGTTTAGTGACATACAAACATTTTTAATGTCTTACTCTGTGTTTCCTGGGACTTCCACAGTTTACAGTTTACATTGGAAGCACAATCAGAATCGGCCAAGATCACATTTTGGTAGGTTTTTGCCCCAAACACATACTCAGCAATCATAACAGCAATATATAATTTTGATTTTGGCTGATTTATGTTGCAGGTCTCTCACTTTACCCTGGTGAGTCGATGTAGAAGGCGACACTTTCAACAAACTCATGCCATGTTGAGTGTTACAGTGAACAGTCTCCTCTTCTATATTATCTCTTATCTTAAACAGCAGCCACGTTTACATTCAGCCTGATAATCCAGTAGTAATCCGACTAATAGCTCATTTGGAATAGAATACGTCCGTGTACACTTTGCAGTCGGAATAGACTAGACCGATAGACAATTCCGAATACAGTTTCTGTCAGATTAAACAAGTAAATAGTCAGTTAAAAAGGAGAATAATGGTCTGTAAACAGCTGTATCCAATTACATTCCCAATCGGACATTGAGTATGTGCATCTGCGTCATAGCAAAAGTTTATAGCGTTCACTATGGCGGAGCAGAAACTGGTTCAGTTGAGTACATGAGCAAATGAACACAAACTGGGAGCAAATTAAAAACGGATGGAGGTTTCGTGTCCTCGCCGGTGGGACTGGCATCCAAGCTTAAGCGTCTCCGAATGTAGCAGGACGTGACGTCTTCCTCTCGCCCTTCTTTAATCAGTACAGGTAAAGTACGTTTCCCTGAGTCCATCATATTTATAAAGCAGTTGAAAACACAAGCGCACCAGCTGAAAACTCAGGTAAATCACTGCTGCTCGTCTCACGTGATGCTGGTTGTCATGGTAACGTCTACATTAAGCGGTCCTCTACGCATGCGTGTAATTTTGGATCAGATTACTTGTAGATTTTCTTCAGATTGTTGAGTAGAGTGAGAATAAACACCTCCATCTTAATCTGTAATCGAAATTAATTCAATCGGACTGGAGATAATCTGGCTGGTGGCAGTTTTTGTTGTGTTTTCCAATTGCTGTCCATTTATCAGGGCCAAAAACTGATTGTGTTGTTTTGTTTAATATTGTTGAAATGGAAGGACATCTGTCCACCAACCTTTGCCCGATGTGTTGGAGTTTTTCATAAATTTGGGAAAATTAAATATTCCATTAGAGAATGTATCAAGACTTTTTTATAAGATGTGGGACCCTTTATTTTGAAGTATGTGACTAAATACATTAAACTGCCTGCAGCTTTTTAGTTGAGCTGATGGTTCTTCAAGGGTTCTGTCGTAAAGACAGTGTTTCTATATAGAACCATGAACACTCAAAGAACAATTTGCATGCTTAATTTGTTCTCTGCATGGTGAAATTGTTCTTCAGATTGATGGAGATTGATGTGTTGTTTATGGTTCTATGTGGAACCTTTTTGAAAAAAAATCTTCTATTATTACAAGCTTGATATCATAACAATGGTAGAACCCTTTTTGGTCCTATATAGAACCATATACAACACAGGGAACACATACATTCCCTATGAGTCTGAAGAACCATTTCACCCGGCAAGGAATCACTTAACGCAAATGTTTTTCTTTTTACATATTCATATTCATTTACATATTACAGTGGTTCTATACAGAACCACTGTTTTTGCTAAACAGCCACCTTTTAAGTATTTGCATTTTGTATTGAAGCCATAATAATTCTGCCCTTTTCTTACCACTCTTTTCTTACTTGTTTTCTTTCATTACAATTATTAGTATTTTATTTTATTATTTTTTAATTTAGTATTGTGATTTAAACATATAAAAAAAAGTTTTTTTGGAAATTTGCAGGAACATTGTGGATACACACCGGTCGGTGTATACAGCAATGTTTATATACTCATATCGGAATAGGACGTAGAAAATTAATGATCTTTACATTCCTAGATTACATACAATTGTTATTACCAAAAAGTGGGGAAATTGATACAGTCCCTCTAAATTAGGGTTGGGTGAATTGAATCACAGCTGCATTTACATACACTCACACACCACTCACACTCCAGGACACACTAGTGAGCAGAAATGTAATGGACGTGACTTTGATGTCACAGTTGTCGTGGCACCACCTTCAGCAATAAGAAAGTGATTTAAATCCAGACAGAATGTTCTCTCAGCTTCGTTCGCATGTTCTCCTCCTACTGTGTCTCGGTGACTCATTTTCAGGGCTGCTCATGCTGCGACTGCGTCCCGAAAGCTTAAACTGAGCTTTCAGTCTGACACATCGCATCTTTGTCGCTTGCAGTGCAAACTCATACTACTGGTGCTCTGCTGGTCACATGACATTAGCAGAGGAAGTGAGCTCTACTAATCCCAGTGGGAAAGAAATGCCTTTAACCCCAGCCTGGCGTCTCTCCTCACATCTCCGTGCTCCATAGCTGTTTAACCAGTGGCCTAATGTGGCCCTGCGCAGAACCGACTTCATTCAACTTTCGCCAGCACTGCAGAACCTCACCATTAAAATCTTGCGTCAAGCAAGACGTCAGAATGTCACTGTCGTTGGCTGGAATCTCCGATGACAAACATGACTATTGTTTTTATTCTAAGAATTTCAGATCTGTTCTCGTCTTTGGTTCTCTGTCCCAATGGGGATGCCGTTTGTTTGATTTCCTCCTTCTGGCAGCTCCTTTTATGGCCACCATAAACACCAGTTTTTATTCCCAGGACAAAAAAAAAGCTGAGTTTGTTATTTTAAAAGAAATAAAGCCCTTGTAGGTCATACTTTATTCTTTAGATTTCTTGTCACCTTCCTGGCAATATCGTCGCCTTTGTGATGTTGTAATAATAATAATAATAATAATAATAATAAAAATAATAATACAACTCATTTCCAAAAAAATTGGGCGCAGTGCAAAATGTCAATAAAAACAAAATTCAGTGATGTGTAAATCATTTAAACTATATATTTCATTAAAAATTGTATAAAGACCACAAATCAAATGTTGAAACAGAGAAATTGTTATAGTTTTTTTGAAAAATATTTGCCCATTTTGAATTTGATGCAAACAACACGTTCCAAAAAAGTTGGGACGGGGGCCTGTTTACCACTGTGCATGTTTACCATTTTTGCTTAACGTAGGATTTTAGCTGTTCATCAGTTCGGGGTCTCCTTTGTGATATTTTCCATTTCATAACGTGCCAGATGTTTTCAGTGGTGACAGGTCTGGACTGCAGGCAGGTCAGTTTAGCGCCCGGACTCTTTTAATATGGAGCCATGCTGTTGTAATACATGCAGAATGTGGTTTTAGATTGTCTTGCTGAAATAATCAAGGCCTTCCCTGAAAAAGACGTCGTCTGGATGGCAGCATATGTTGCCAAAACATGTATATATCATTCAGCATTAATGGTGCCTTCACAGATGTGCACGTCACCCATGCCATGTGCACTAATGCACCCCTATACCATCATGAATACTGGCT